TCGCTGAGTTGTATGGTCGCGTACATACTTAACTCGGCTGCGCATTCAAAACAATGAGTAAATTGTTCGCAGACGAGCTCGAATTTACGTGCTTTGCTTTGGGGCTGCTCGTCAGTAGAAGGTCTGCGGCCAGCATAAACAACAATGTTCAGTCTGCTCAACCGCGACCCCATGTAGTGCTCAAGTTTGGAGATCGCGATCTCGGAGTTCGCAGCCCGCACGGTCGGACCTTCTTGTCCGACGTTTGACGAGACCGCCGTACCTGCCCATCCAGCGTCCTGTCGCGTGGACCTACTGCATCGGGATTTTGCGACGACACTCACAGTTTCGATGGATAGACGATGGAAGAATGGTGCAGCGTCCAGAGACGGTAGCTGTCATACACGCGGTGCATCGTGCCCAGAGGACAAGGTGCGTGGAGAAGTGGGGCAGGCTAACCAAGGAAGGCGCGACAGTCCCGCGGCCTCTTCTTATCGTGTTGATAACAACGTTCAAGACTGAGTTGACAGATGGGAATGATACAATGCGTTAATGACTTGACCGATTCGCCAATAGGCCGTGATTCGATTCGAAGGAAGATATCTGAGATCGCGCTGCGATGCCGTTAGACCGTTGATCTGCCTCCAGTATATAAGACCCCGCTGGACCCTGACAGCTTGGAGTGATCAACCTTATCCGACCACCCTCACAACCTATTCATACTATGGCGCTCGACCGATTGAAGCAAGCAGCCTCGCATATTACGGGAATTGGAGAGCCTCCACACCCATTTGATCCTTTGAGCGAATCAGAGATTGAACGCGCAGTCGCTATCATCCGAAAAGAGCACAGCGATGTGTTTTTCAACGCCATCACCTTGTTGGAGCCGCGTAAAGCGGAGATGATGAGCTGGCTGAAAGATCCCGAGCATACACCAAGACCACATCGAGTTGCTGATGTAGTCTGCATTGGCCGAGGCAGCAAAGTGTATGATGGACACGCAGATTTGACCGAAGGCAAGATCATCAGCTGGGCGCTGACTGATGATGTGCAGCCACTTGTACGTTAGAGAGTGTGTGAGTGCGGTTTACCTCCTGCTGACTTGGATCTAGATTACAATGGAAGACCTGCAGATCGTGGAGACAATTGTGCGGAAAGATCCCAAAGTCATCGAACAATGCGGCCTGATCGGCATTCCACCAGAGGACATGCACAAAGTGTACTGCGATCCCTGGACGATTGGTTATGACGAGCGTTTTGGCACCAAAGTTCGTCTTCAGCAAGCGCTCATGTACTATCGCCCACACCCCGACGACTGTCAATACACGTACCCATTGGATTTCTGCCCAATTTACAACTCCGATACTCAAGAGATCATTCACATCGACGTCCCACCGGTTCGGCGACCGCTCAATCAGGCCCCACCAAACAACTATCACGCGGCTGCGATTGAGGCTGAGGGTGGGTTCAAGACAGATCTGAAGCCCATCAACATCACACAGCCAGAAGGCGTCTCATTCAAGTTGGACGGACGATACATCAGCTGGGCGAACTGGAAGTTCCACATTGGCTTCAACTACCGCGAGGGCTTGGTTTTGTCCAACATCACGTTCGACGACAAGGGCACCGTTCGCGATACCTTCTGGCGCCTATCGCTCGCAGAGATGGTTGTACCTTACGGCAACCCAGAACACCCACATCAGCGTAAGCACGCTTTCGATCTGGGAGAATACGGCGGTGGCTACATGACCAACTCACTTAGCCTGGGCTGTGACTGCAAGGGCGCAATCCACTACATGGACGCTGCTTTTGTCAACCGAGCGGGCCAGGCTACAACGATCAAGAATGCTATCTGCATTCACGAGGAAGATGCTGGTATCCTGTTTAAGCACACGGATTTCCGCGATGACAGTGTTACTGTTACTCGTGCTCGCAAACTTATCATCTCGCAAATCTTCACAGCTGCAAACTACGAGTACTGCGTATACTGGATCTTCCATCTTGACGGAACCATCCAGCTGGAGATCAAATTAACCGGTATCTTGAACACCTACGCGATGCTTCCCGGCGAGGATTTGAAGGGCTGGGGCACTGAGGTATACCCTGGAGTGAACGCGCACAACCATCAGCATCTCTTCTGTATGCGCATTGATCCCAATATTGATGGACCGGAGAACACCGTTTTCATGGTCGATGCGATGCGTGGAGAAGGCGAAGTTGGTAGCGCAGAGAACAAATACGGCAACGCTTTCTACGCGAAGAAAACGAAGCTCAGCACCCCTGAGCAGGCGGCAACGGACTACAATGGCGGAACGAGCAGAACATGGGAGATGGCCAATACGAACAAGCTCAACCCATACAGCAAGAAGCCAGCTTCCTACAAGCTGGTCAGCAGGGAAGTGCCCGATCTACTACCCAAGCCTGGAAGTTTGGTATGGAAGCGCGCCGGTTTCGCGAGACATGCGGTACATGTCACAAAATGTGAGTTTCACCAGAGAATTACGTACGAAGCCCTTGACTGACCTACAATAGACGACGACACACAACTCCACCCAGCAGGCCGTCACGTCCCCCAGACATCTGGCGAGCCATCCCAAGGCATACCCGCCTGGATCGAAGCCAACCCCAACGAGAACCTCGACAACACCGATGTGGTACTGTGGCACACATTCGGAGTCACGCATTTCCCATCACCGGAAGACTTTCCGATTATGCCCGCTGAGCCCATGACGCTGTTATTGCGACCACGCAACTTCTTCACACGTAATCCTTGTATGGATATTCCGCCTAGCTATTGCAGTGTTCCGAGTGGTGTTAAGCAGGGAAGTACGCTTGTGGATAAGTTGAGTCGAATGGCGTTTGGTGAGGAGAAGAAACCTGAGAGCGCTGCGTCGGCGACTTGTTGCTCGGATCAGAAGTTTGGTGCGGGCGTGTAGGCTGAATACGCCATGTATGTTTAGTGTGTCCACAATATATCTGTTTCTTGGTGGAGCGATGATCACAGCTGCCTTAGTGAACCGTGAGATGTTGCATTGCTCACAGTGACGGCCACGTGCGGTGACGTAGTCCCACGCGAGCTGTTCGCGGGTAGTAGCTCCGCAGGTGGGCCCAAGCTTCCACCGAGTCCGCATCCGACATCTTCTCCCCTCCACGATCATCGGTGCAGATTCCAGTAACGCACAGCAGCCGCGATGATATAGCACCGATATCGCAACGTTCCCAGCACCATCTTCATCCCACCGAGCCTGAGGATGTTCCTGCCGATTTGGACGGCCCACCATCCGAACCCGCAATGCCCCGCGCATTCCCACCCGTAGAGCAAAATGATAAAACCAAACGAGCAAACGTGCCTCGGAGCGCCTTATCAGCCTCTCTGGTTGAGAGTGTAGCCGGGTTCAGCGCTGGCGTTGTCTCTTGTCTCGCTGCTCACCCACTCGACTTGCTGAAGAACCGCCTTCAACTCAATACCACAAGTCGATCGCGACCTGGCGACTCTTATCGGATCCTACGAAACGTGATTCGAGATGAAGGAGGCGTACGCGCACTATACAGGGGACTATGGCCGAACCTTCTCGGCAACAGTCTGGGCTGGGGTCTATACTTCCTTTTCTATGGAAACCTGAAAGAATTGTTTCAGAGTAGGAGGCAGAAGGGCGAGCATCTGGGAAGTGCCGAGTTCTTTTCTGCGAGCATCATCGCTGGTATGTTTAGAGACACGGAACTCCTATGGTCATCGTTAACCATTTGCTAGGTCTCCTCACCGGTGCTTGCACGAATCCTATCTGGGTAGTGAAAACGCGCATGCTCGAGCGCGGCGCAAACCACCCTGCCGCATACAAATCCATGAAAATTGGCCTCCAACACGTATACGAAACTCGAGGACTTAAGGGGCTTTGGGCAGGCTTCCTGCCTTCGTCGCTGGGTGTGCTGCACGGCGCCGTACAGTTCAGCATATACGAGAATATGAAGAAGAGACGGGGGACGCATATCGGCGGGCAAGACAAGCTGAGCAATTGGGAATATGTGTATATGAGCGGTGGAAGCAAGCTGCTTGCTGGAGCAATCACGTACCCGTACCAACCTATACGCGCGCGGTTGCAGCAATACAACGCTGCACAGCAGTACAACGGTCTGCTAGATGTGCTCAGGAAGACGTATCAGAACGAAGGATTCTTGGCGTTTTACAAAGGGTAAGCAAGCACCTACGCTCTGGGATCTGATGGATAGCAAGGCTAACCTTCACAGTGTCATCCCGAACACACTCCGCGTTATCCCGACCACTGTTGTTACGTTCCTGGTATACGAGAACACGAAACTATATCTGCCGAAGATGTTTGCGGATGACGAGCAACTAAGTCACGACGAAGACTAGACACGAGAATATAAGCACCCAACTACTATACCGACGCGCGCTTTACTACACGATAGTTACCGATATGAAGACAGACGTAGACGAATCAATATCACGCTGTTGACGACTTCCATACGAGATATATGAAGAAGTACCTCGACATACTCCCAAGTGAAGGCAGCCATTGGTCAGACGAATAAATTGCGGCCGATGAAATATCAGTCGTCCGTGCTTCTCCGTTGCGGGAAAGCGAGCTCAGCGTTTCGACTAGTGCTGCTCGGTGCTCAGACTATACTGATATCGGGCAGCTGGTGATTAACATTGCGCAGGAATAGGGTTGCGCCATGATAGCAGTCCCTACTATCAGGTGCCACTCACCTGCAACCTCTGGAGTGAATACGTGTGTTTTCACCACACTGCCCAGTCCACATGGCTTGGTATGAGCGGTTCAATCAGTCTCTTTTAGACTGCATACGATGAACCAATTTTACACGTCAATCACTGCCATTGGAAAAGCTTACCTTAAGGTAGTGAATCTCAAATCACTTAACATCGAGTAATGAGTTGCCGGTGCTTCACCGCGAGCGTCGTAACCATAACTCAACCAGTACGCAGCCGCAACCAGTCTACAGTGTTTCCGTATCGAAGCCCTTCGCAACCACCACTAGCGATGGCCTCATCAGACAAGCTTCAGCGCAAGCCTTCCCTACTCAGGATGGGCAGGAAGTCTCGGCCGGACCGTCTTACACCTTCTGCTAATACTCGGCCTTCGACTCCTACATTATCCGAATCTCCTAGCTCTCAACCCGAGCGTCGTCAGAATGGCTTGCGAAGATTCTTCGGCAGATCTCGCGAGCCAGAAGCACGGAATCGAGTGCTCACGCCACCATCGTCATCTCCAGTACCAGCAGCGTCTCCACTCATTATCTCGAGGTTCGCCAAAGCATTTGTAGACGCCCTAAACGTTACGCAGCTCTCCAATTTCCTCATCTGGATATTATACTACGAGGTCGTTGAGCTACCGGAAACCCCAGAGGCTTGGTATGCACCAATCGACAATATGGACATGCGTGGGTGGGTTGCGCTGGGAGAGTTCCTGGCAAAGACACAAGAGGCGGGTGATGGATATGGCTTCGATCTGATCGTGTTGGACTCCATCTGTGATCGAATTCGATTATCGCGCCCGATAGTCCACACGTTGTTGATTCGCTTCGCCAATCCAGAGAAGATGAAACACAGTATTCTCGCTGCAGCAGGAAGCATATCACCCAAGCATGATGCTACGACGATGGAAGCTCTCGAGGCCGCGCAGTCGAAGTTGGAAGACTTGCACAAGTTGGCCAACCATCTGAAGCCACAAAGAGGGACACAGTACGAATCGTGGCAGACGATCATTCAAGAACGTCTGAATGCGTTTCTGGACATGGTAGTCGGCCCCCGCATTGCTCATCTGCGTACAGGCAAGCCGCTTACGACTGTTGCAACATCAGAGCAACTCCCGAAAGAAGTTACAGAAGGCATCAGGATGAACTATCTCTACGAAGCCATGCAACAGGAGCGCCATGTACCATTGGAGCGTTATGGTATTCGTCAAGGTCACAACAAACACGAACACCAGACTCTGCAATCGTCTTCATCTCCAGTGAACGACAACGAGGTCGAGCGATCGCGTAATCATGCGATTGCGCTCATGGCCGAGAATCGAGAACTGCGTTCTGATATCGCAGTCCTGCTGCAGGACAAGGAGAGACTGATCAAAGCAAACGAGAAGCTAGCACAGAAGGCTTCTAAACTCGGTCGCCTACAACCTGCAGGCTATATCCGTTCGCCGCCCTACGATGACTGTCCTGAAGAAATATCAGGCAAGGAGAAGGTTGACGGCGAACAACCAATGGCTACTCAAGCTCCACTGCGCCCAACCCGCCCCCGTTCCGTTTCCACCGGCGACATCGAAGCCCTCGCTGCAGCCCTCGAACAGGGACTCAACATCAGCACGCATCATCGCCAAAGCTCCGAGATCCTAGCTCAAAAATACGACGATGTGTTTTCCAGCTTGCATTCTTCGCCCTTACCAACCCTCCGGCTCTCGGCTCTCCCAGCACCGTTGACGCCTTCGCCTTCATCAGTAAACGGCAGTGCGACGCGGCCGATGACTCTGGGTGATGCGCCGAGGAGTGGTAGGCGTAGTGGTATGATATTCGATGGAGATAAAATGGGTCATTTGGCTGGAGGTGGGACACCAACGGCGGAGGATAGTGATGGGGATGGGGATGAGGATGAGGATGGGAAGAGGAGTGGTGGGTATGTTCCTGTTACGCCGACGCCGCAGGGGAGGAAGAGGTTTGATTTGTTGGAGTAGGGGTGAGATGTGGAGAGGATATGGGGGATGTGAGTGCGGAAGTGTGTGGATTCACCTGGATTTGGAGGGTGTACAGTATGTATTCAGAAAGAATGCGAAGACTTGGACACTTAGAGGTACACATTGTAGTCATTGCATTGAGTATACTTGCGTAGCGTAGAAGCTAACGCGCGCCCGATGAATTCGATTCAACTTTTCTGACTGCTAGTCTCAGCGCGTACGCGTCGACAGCGAAGCACAGGGCATGCAGACGCGCATATCTGTTCAGATCTTTAGAGAAGCCCACAGAGCGTCCAAAGCGTCGGATCCAGATGTGCTCAATGACCAGCAGAAGCCCTGAAGATACCAAGTCCTCTAGACCTCCTCCTCAATCTCGTCAATGACCTCTTCACCAGCCTCTAGTTCCTCCTCAACAAGACCCTGAATACCCTCCTCGTCCTCAAAGACTGGCTCAGGCTTGATCTTGGGAGCAGCCGGAGCTTTCTTCTTGGTAACGCGACCGGTCTTGACAGCTGTACGTTTAGTCAGTACGTCCATCTTATCTTATCACTCAGTGGCGCAAAACACTTACCACCCTTAACCGGACTAGCACTACCACCCCCCTTCTTCGCGCGCGTCTTGACCGGGCTCTTCGCAGCACCAGCACCGTCACCACCACCAGCAGCCTCGTCCTTGAGCGCAGTAGCCGCTTTCTTGAACTTGCGCATCCGGTTCTCAAGCGCGTCGTAGGTCATTTCGCCGCCGTAGAGAGTGGCGATTTCGCGGATGTTTACCTGGTGGGAGGGGGTGGTTAGTATGGGTGGTTGAGAGGGGTTGTAGTGGAGGATTTGTAGTGTAGGGATTGTAGTGGAGGGATGGACGTACTTTGTTATCGAAGCTTGCGAGTGTTGCGATGAACAGGCGCTCGAGTACCTCTGGGTTGGTCCAGGTGATCGGCATTGTGGTGATGAGACTGGTAGGTGTTAGTACAGCTAGGATTTTGGGATACTGCAGGCGCCGGAGATGATCATGGTAGCAATCACGTCCAGCGATGGTGGGAGGGAAACGCAAAGGGCGAGGCCGTGAGCGGCTGTCTCGAGCTGTCGCGACCACTCTCCAAGGCGCGAGCCCGCTCACTTGGGGAAATGTTGGGCAGCTGGAGAACTTACTTGTTGGAGATGGTTGGTGAAGCTAGTGTGTTAGATCGGAGTCTCGATGACAGACGTTGATGTTGTCACTGTTGTTAGGGTGGAAGAGTGTGTGAGAGCAGAGTCCAGGTGGCAGAAGGTTCAAGATATATGGCGGGAAAAGTGAAGGTGACGGTAAGATACGGAAGGGCGCAGTCTTGCCCGCTACTCTTCTCCGCCTTCACACCGCTCGCGTATCTCCCACGTGCGTGACGTGGTGAAGGCACGCAAATTTGTCGAGATACGACAGGACCGATGCGGAAGGCAGGCTATGGGACTACAGATCAAAGTGACGAGGGGAATGTCATGGGTATATTGGCACGGTACCGTGCTCGAGCAGATAGACTGCATATCCAGTTATTTCATATGTCGCGAGACGGTGACCAATTCTGTCTGGTCGAACGCAAAATCTGGGTATCGAAACTACATCAAGCCTTGACCTTAGTTGCCTTTGCATCCTCGCGCGCTTTTTTGTCCTTTTTCCCTTCGGCTTTATGCCGCTTCGCCTCCTCTCTCGGGTCAATAACCAACAACTCTTCTTCGTTTTTCCGCTTCCACTCCAAGTCTTTCCCTAACCTGTCTTTTGCAAAACTGAGCGAATGCGACATCCACCCTGCGTCGTCATCAGACTCCTCCTCATCCTGCTTGTCCCAGGCTTTACAAGACTGGCATCCTACTATGAAGTGTAAATCACATGCACCTTCTTCTTCTTCGTCGGCTCCGTTCGCGTCTCCATTACCTGGGTTGCTGGGTGTTTCTTCTGGTAATGTTGGAGTGGCCATTTTGGGGGCGGCAGTGGAGTCTGCTGAGTCCAGCTTTGATTTGAACCGGTTGAGAATGTCCAGCGCTGACTGTTCGTCTTTTGCATTGCCGCCTGCTCCGCGTTTCCGTCCCCGTGTTGTAGTTGACGGTACCATTGACTCCAGTAGCGACTTCTTCTTGGCTGGCCCTGTATCTTGGGCAGCTGTGTTCCGCTTCATCGATGCCTTGAGGTCGGCAATCTGCTGGTTGACGCGGTCTAACTTCGATCGCTTCTCGGACTCGGGCGATAGTTCTCGTGGTGGGGTGCGCGCTTTGGGTTTGGGTGGTGATTTGGGAGCGGCTTTTTGGGCGGCTTTGGGCGAGGGAGATCGCGGCGGTGACTTTCGCGACGGTTTGCGTATGGGTATCTCTCTCGTCTCCTCGGGTGCTTTGGATGCAGGCTTCTCCTCTCCTGCGCTGACCAGCTTGGTGTTGAACTTGGGCTTCTTCGCGACCGGCGCTGCATCAGCCTCGGCTTCATCCCCAAAGCTGAGCACGTTCTTGCCAGCCTTCCTCTTCGCCTTCTTGGGCTTCTTGGTCTCGGACTCATTCGTCGTAGCCACCTGCACCCTCTTGACCATGTCCTCGAACGGGTTTATGATGATCTCGGCGCCCGTGACCTTGGTGGGGTACATGGGCTGGTCGTCGCTGCCGTCGCGTATCTCAGCCTCGGCCATCTTCATCAGGTTGTAGATGGTGTCGCCCGCGACCCGGCCGAACATGGTGTTCTTGCCCTGCAGCTCTGGGGTGGCTGCGAGGGTGAAGAAGAACTGGCTGCCATTGTCGTCCTTCTTGCCCGTGTTGGCCATGCCCAGCAGCCCCCGTCGCGTGTACTTCAGCCGGCTGTGGAACTCGTCGGCAAAGGGCTCGCCATCGTAGCTGCTCTCTCCGCCCTGCCCCGTGCCCGTGGGGTCGCCGCCCTGCAGGATGAAGCCCTTGACCAGGCGGTGGAAGACGGTGTTGTCGTAGTAGCCGTCGAGACACAGCTGCAGGAAGTTGCGCGACGTGATGGGCGTCTGCTTGGCGAAGAGCTCGATCTCGAGATCGCCCGTGGTCGTATGCAGGACGACTTTGGCCGTCGGGTTCGGCTCGAGGTTGTACGTCGTGGCCATGTCGGCGACGGAGTTCCGCTATCGAGGTGCGTTATCAGGGCGTTATCGCCGTGGTTGCGCCCGTGGAGGATTCGCGAAGTCGCGTCCCAACTCCATCGCGAATTTGTTGGCCAGTGAGCGCTGAGCTGCCCTGCACGGGCCTCGGCAAACGTGCCCCGACGTCATCTTGGCTTCTCACCCACCATGCACCACAGCCTGCATACTCTCACTTAACTTTCCGCCGCCCGACACAGGACCGATGCCTTACATATAATACCGCTGTTCTCAACTCTCACCGCTTCTGGTTCCCTTCTTGTCTCCCGGGTTTGGACTCAAGTCCACTTGACAGTTGGCACCATGCTGCCCTACATCAACGCACGTACGTGTTAGCTAACTGAGCCACTACGACCAGTACTAACCCTGGTGAAGCTTTTGAATATGTGGCTGGTGCGCTTGGGAATTCGGCTGATGAGCGTAAGATCTCGCATGGCACATGTGGCTGATGTTGTGCTGACTCCACCCAGTCAAGCTCATTTTCTCCTTCTACCTGTCGTATCCTCTAGCTGCCGTGTTGAAAAGGATCCCCGACAAGGACCCATGGAAGAAGAATGTCTTCGTCATTACGTGAGGCTCGTCAGATCTTCTTTCGGATGAATTGATGTTAATGGCTCCAGCGTCTCCATGTTCTACCTTGTTGGCCTTTTTGACTTGTGGACCGGCCTGCGGACCATCTTCATCAGTGCTGGCGGGGCCTACCTCATCTCTTCGAAAATTCATTCGCCGTACATGCCATGGATCGGATTCGTATTTCTTATGGGCCACATGTCGGTGAATCACATCTACCGACAAGCCGTGAATGACCCATCCGTCTTTGACATCACCGGAGCTCAGATGGTCCTCGTCATGAAGCTGACTGCTTTCTGCTGGAATGTCCAGGATGGTCGTCTTCCGGACGCTGAGCTTTCCGAGCAACAGCGCGCCCACGCTATCCGGACAATGCCCAGCATGATCGACTACGTCGGCTATGTCTTTTTCTTTCCTGCCCTTATGGCTGGTCCAGCCTTTGACTACGCCGATTACAGCCAGTACATCACTACCACCATGTTCACCCTCCCACCAGGCACCGATCCATCCAAGGCACCACCAACGCGCAAGAAGCGGAAGATTCCTCGCAGCGGTATGCCTGCCGTAACCAAAGGAGTCTACGGAACTCTCTGGCTGGTCGCGTTCATCAAATTCTCCAGCTGGTACTACCCTGAATTCTACCTCGGGGACGAGTACATGCAATACAACTTTTTCCGCAGGATCTGGCAGCTCTACATGCTTGGTCTTACCACGCGTATGAAGTACTACGCAGTTTGGAGTCTATCTGAGGGATCGTGTATCCTCTCCGGAATCGGCTACAACGGTCTTGACCCCAAGACTGGTCGAGCTAAATGGGACCGTCTCACCAACATCAAGCCACTCGAGATTGAGGCCGCGCAGAATGCTCGTGCTTACCTTGGTTTCTGGAACATCAACACCAACACTTGGCTGAAGAACTACATGTATCTTCGTGTGACACCAAAGGGACAGAAACCTGGCTTCAGGGCTACGCTTGCCACATTTGTGACTAGCGCATTCTGGCATGGATTCTACCCTGGCTATTACATGGCCTTCATTCTGGCAGCTCTTGTACAAACTGCTGCGAAGAGTAGGTCTCTGATGATGCGCTATCTGCTTTCATGCTGACATTCACCAGATGGCCGCCGATTGATCCGTCCGCTGTTCATGACGCCAGACGGGAAATCACCTCTACCTTCGAAGCGATACTACGACCTCTTCTGCGTCGTCCTTACACAGACTGTGTTTGCGTTCGTAGTCGCTCCCTTCATCCTTCTTGGCTTTTCGGATACGATCAAGATCTGGGCACGGGTTTACTTCTACACTCTCATCGGTGTGGCCGGATCATTTGCTGTCTTTTCGCGGTCGTTCCCCATCCGCAAGCAGCTCGTTCAACTTCAGACGGCTCGTGCGCCCCCAGCGGCAGCCACCACATACGATGATCCTGCCATTGAGAAGGCAGCACGGGAGGAGATTCGACGAGAAAGGCTAGCGAGGACCAACTCGTCAGACAGTGTTAAGAGTCACGCCAAGATGCCTCTCCTGGGTATTGCGGATGACCCCGAGGCGGAGATTGACGAGATCGTGGCCGAAGTCAAGGCTGAGATCGAGCAAAGGAAGAGGAGGGGCAGCGTGATGCAAGGGTTTGATCTCAAGCAAGCCGTGCAGGACAAGCTGAAGCAGTTCAACAAAAAGGGGTAGAGTATGATACACTGGCGGCGATGCTCCAGTAGCAGTCGCGGGTACATCTTTGTGGTATAGGGATGGGAAACAGGCCGGCTTGGGGATCAGCCGTCCAATATAGCCTGAATACATACTCAGTAGCAAGAGTCGTTGCGGACTTGATTCCGAACCTTCCCGCCTTTCACCGGATTTATCACAGGCCTTTGTGCACGTTCGTCGCTCCAGCCCAACGTCAAATCTTCGGGCAAATCATCCCGCCCAGTTCAATCGTTCAGCCCAGCGCGAGCTATCGGCGACCACACATATTCTTCGCTCGTGTCTGAGCTAGCGGGTGTCTTGCGTGCTAAATGTGGCGCAAACTCTATTGCCATGTGGTAGCTCGGTAACGCCGGCCTTTTGACACCGACGCCGCGTCACTCCAGCGCTGCCCACAAAGTTTGCGGCATCTTCTAGCTTCGGGCGTCAAGAGGCTTCTGTCACCGAAAGTTACTTTGAACTCCCGAAATCCCATGGAGAATATGATCATCGCATAGTCGCGTGGTCGCACAAGTGCATGCGATTTCGGATGGCGACGCTAATGGCCTAGAACTCGAGATCCAGTGGCTGCATGATCGGACCGACGAATCGTATAATCGATCGCACATCCCGCGGGTCTGAGACTTCCTAGACGCACATCTGCACGGAGCGCCTGTCGCCTCATGTAGACGACTCAACTCCTTCCTTCAGGTCGCAACGCTCCCATGCCGCGTGGTTCATTTCCGGGGCCCAGGTACCTGGAGGGTCCATCCCAGTTCAGCCCGCTAGACGATCGTGTTCTCTCAGGCTTCTCCGTCGCTACATGAACGCTTGGCTGGAATTTGTTGCCGGACGTGCATCTAACGGCGCCGCTTCCTTCTACAGGCTTAACGCTCGAGCAATGCACTTATACCCATTACTAGACATATTGCAGCATCTGTGGTGTTTTCGCCATACTAGCCTGATGCGACTCCACTTCCCGACGACATGCTTCTAGTGTACCGATTCCAAACACGCCATGTCGCGTGTCGAGTAGTCGATCTAGCATCCCATCACTACCACTCTTCGTTTCCGCCCCAGTGTACGGCGAATACCGAGATGATGGACTACAGGCATTGGGTATGATCGGGAACGTGGGCGATGTGCCGGAACTGATCCTTCTTCATGGTTCCCATCCCCACAGCCTTTCTTTGCCTTTTTTCGCTACGATCCTCGCATGCACGCTCAGTACGCATGACTGCATATTCTCTCGGGCTTATACGAATTGGTGGTCCTCCAGACTGATCCGCACCGAGATGGGTGTGCCGGATAATGGCCCTGTAATTGCTGGAGTAACGTGGATGTTGACGATATTGAGTGGTGGGTTTTTGGCTTTGAGATTCTATGCGAAGTTATCGAGGAAGCAAGGGCTTTGGTGGGATGATCATATCCTGACTGTCTCATGGGTAAGTCTTCGTCTTTCCGTTCGTGTGATGTCGCTAATGGGAATGAACAGGTCCTCCTTCTCGCGCAGGCTATCATCACCCAAGTTGGACAACAAATGGGATTTGGAAAACGACTGGAAGATGTCGACCCCAAATACCTCATGACCATCGCGGTCGGAATGTCCGTCGCCGCATCGATATCCTGCTTCGCCTCTACTCTCTCGAAGATATCCTTCGGCGTCACTCTCCTCCGCCTCACGTCTGGTTACCTACGCGGGTTCGTATGGTTCTGCATCGTGACCCTCTTCCTCATAATGCTGCCAAGTGCGCTGGCTACATGGGTCCAGTGCCAGCCGATGGCAAAAGCTTGGAACAAAGACCTCCCTGGAACATGCTGGGACTCTAGCCACTCAATCGACTACGGTATTTTCAACGCTGCGTGGTGTGCTGCGGCAGACTTTGCGCTAGCACTCCTTCCATGGTATCTGATATGGGGATTACAACTGAAGCTCCGCGAGAAGATCGGAGTGGGCATCGCCATGAGCATGGGTGTATTGTAAGTAATCTTTCGCTGAACTTCCCAATGTTGCATCAGTGCTAATACGACTTCCCCTCCAGATCCGGTGTCTGCGCCATCGTAAAAGGCGTCTACGTAATCCAACTCGGCCAAAAAGACTTCTCCTACAACGGCAAAGAACTCACCATCTGGACCGGCGTTGAAACCGCAACCGCCATCATCGCCGCTTCCATCCCCGTCCTCCGCGTTTTCTTCAAAGAAACAATTTCTTCGTACTCGCGCTCGCATACCAAAACCAACCAAAGCGTCCCCTTGTCCCGATTGAACCAAAGTCAACACTCTACCACGACGACGACCGTACATGCGATGGGCAAAGGCAAGGAAGGGCGGTGGACGGTGATTGAGGACCAAGGAGATGATTGGAGCCAAAGGGGCATCTTGGAGGATGAAGAGATGGGACGGAGTCGACGGGGGACGGTGTATGAGGAGGATCAGATTTTGACGACGAATACGGTTACGGTTACGATTGAGAGTGATGCGCGGTCGTTGTCTGATCAGAAGGCGAGGTCGTTTTTGGGGATAGCGCACTAATACGTCTTGTAATGAAATATGTCACATCGACCTTTTGGGAAGTGGATGACTCACGGAACGCATGTGCCAGGTCTGCACTGATCGGATTTAAGTCTACAGTACGCAGGTCTACTAAATTCCGTGTGCGGTTGCTGTATTCGGTTGTTTGGGTGGGGCTTGTTCTTGAGTACGGTAGGCAGGACTGCGAAGGTCAAGACGAAGCTTCCCGCAGACAAGCTCAGCCTCCGAAGATCTTGGGCGCCATGTTCGCTCAAATGCTGTTTCCTAATATCTCGCAAAGCTTGGACGAGAAGGGTCTAGCGTCGTTTGCTCTCACCTCAACAGGTGAGTGGGGCTTCCAGCGTTGATGTCGAGCACCTTTAGGTAGCAAGTGCAACCATCGGAAAGCCACGCACCTTCACTCTAACACCCTTCGCACGACCGGCGCTTCTAACTCTACACACCTACAATGTGGCGCTCACACCACAGTCTGTTGTCATCGCGCCGAGACAACACATACCATACTCACTGCAGCCTATGCTCGCAGTCCTGGAGACACATTACAGCTCCAGCCTAAACGGCAATGCACGCGAGGAGCAAACACTGAAGCTGCACATCGCCGACTCACCCAAAGCAAGCAGGGTTTAGAGGAAGCTGCAGACCGACGAGGAGATGCTGACCGCATTGTGGCGGAGGCTCTGTTGGCCTCACGCAGTACGCACAACCTCCACTCACATTGCAAGCCTTTGCTAACCACTCACAGAATCGGCTATCCAGTACAAGGAACGCCTCAAGACAAACGGCAGTGACTTACTTGGCTCTAAGGGCAAAGTGACTGATCTGACGGTTGCGAACGATATCCTCCAAGCCCGGCTGCGTCAAACCGATATAGACAGAACAAGAACGATTCGAGAGCTTGCAGACGAACGGAGGTATAGCGACCTTTCCGCTCTGCACACGCAGATTCTGACAACCGCATTCAGTCACATGGGAGAAGTCAAGACAGCCAGGATCTGGCTTGACATTTTTACTGTTACCGACAAAAGACTAGTCACAAGTTTTTACTAGTACCGACAAAAGACTTGTCACTTGGAATGTACCTGTACTTACAAGGGATGGTGCAAGAGGCGCTGGTAGAGGGAGTGGAGTTGTCCATCCGTGCGCTCATCTGCCAACAGCGGGTTCGAGCTGCCCTCGAGAAAAAGCTCGCCTGCCTCGAGCGCCTCATACCATTCATGGATGTCATCACCGCCAAGTCCGATGACTCTCCCGCCACTACTAGTCAGGCTCCTCCTGCAAAGAAACAGAAGCCAACTGTGCCTGGAGAAACTGCTAGTGTGATTACCCCACCATCCAGATACCAGGAACCAGCATGGTTGTGGACGCCTCAACCATACCCGTACCAGCCGTCTGTAGATTCACCTGAGGACGAACCGACAACCCCACTACAGCAATCTCCAGCCAGGCTACCAAAGCGACCACAGTCACTGCCGACTACTTCTTCCGCACCCAGTCTTGGGGGTCCAGTTCCACCGCAGCTACCGCATTCACCGCAGCTACCGCATTCACCGCAGCTACCGCAGCTACCGCGGATGACCTTGCCTGCACCTGATATTGAGGGCTCAATTCCGGCTTTGGTACCACCCACAAGAAACGAGATCACCTTCAAAGTACCGGTGCAAACACTTCTCGATCACTTCGATCGACTCACAGAAGAAATGGGCGCAACGCCTGAGCTGCTAAGAGCAGACAGGGCCCGATTCACAGACCCGGCAGGACTCCCCTGGGCGTTCTTTTCCATCTTCGTTCCAAGATTAGCTTCCAGCAACGACCACCGCGGCACGTACTGCTACTCTACAGCGGTATGGCCGTACCTGAAGCGCAACCACATCACGTTCGAAAACCAAGTTGTCAGCCAATTCTATTTTCAGCAGGCGCAGCAGGCATTCGACGAGGAGGAAACCGAGTCGCAGGAAGTATCGGCAGATGACAGAGACGACAAGCATCGAAAGACCTGGGTGAAGCAAGTCCACGCCGCGATGGAACTCGTCAAGGAGCAGGACGCTGATGACCACACGCGAAAAGAGCTTTATTTCAGGCTGATGAATGCGACCGAGCTGTACCTGAAGGTCCACGAGAACGAGGTTCGCTTCAAATTTGCCCTTAGGGATGACGATGTCCTCAAAGAGATGTTGAAGGACACTCCCAATGTGCTTGCTTTGAGGGTTGTCGACGAGGGCGTCGAGGCAGTGGCCCACTGGTGGAATTTATCTAGCACCACCTTCTTTCACGACTGACGAACTCGGATGAGCGTATGCATGATATCACGCGGCCTACAACTCACTTGCATGACACACACGCAGAATGTTGGGGTTAGGGAGACGCAGCGAGGAAGAGCTAGACAGCAGCCTGCGCTCTGAGCGGCAGACGATCGAAAACCTCAGGCATGAGATCAGTCAAGTGCGGTAACACGTTCAGCAGCTGGAAGGTGTCAGCGATGCCGTCATGCAGCAGTGCCGCGAGAATGTGAACACGTTCCAACGGGCAATGCAGGATAAACGCGACATACCGTTTGGCTCGGGACGACGATGGTCGTACTCAATGGAGTGGGAACTTGGACAGATGCCGCGGTGAAGTGCCTTGTGTCATACCCTGGAGAGGACGGCGATGCTTTCTGCATGCGGCGAATCGCGATTGTGTACGTGGATTAAGATATTGTCCCTTGAGAATGCTGGCAATGATTATGTCTAGAATGGGCCTAATTGCGCGATGTGAAGTTGGACCACGCTTGCAACATGCAAGTTGCATACATTGTGATATCTTAGTTGAGTTTGTGTCACCCACTTCGTCCCATGGTATCGCAGTGACGCGGAACAGAAAAGTCACTCACGACGTCCGGAATCCACAACACACCCATTCAGTCAGGCCCGGCTGGACGCAAAGTGTAGCGCTAACATAACCAGGTACCTGGATTCCAGCTTGCTGTCGCCCATTGCAACCTCCGCGTGCCCTGTGTATCGAGTAGTTCAGTAGTCATTGCGCTGGCACTCGCAATTGTTGTCTCTTCTGAAATGCTGTTGTAATCAACGTCACCATGGCGGCTGTTGGGATCATCGCTCCGCGGAATGTGTAGGACCACTGGTAGATCCGTCTCGCCCAGCTGTCGTGGCTCAAGGGCCGGCTTGTTTGGCATCACCAGCCGAGGGCGAGGGGGCCGGGATGCCGTGCCTTCCCCCGACGCCTCGGCTGGCTGCTAGAAGGTTGTGTCGTCGTCGGCTTGCTCGTCCATGACGCCGGGCGCCAGGTCTTCATCTAGTGTGCACATCCAGTCTTCGGGCAAAGGCAGATGCTGCTCAGCGTTCGATCATGAGGCCGCTGTTTACGGTAAGCAGCTGTGTTGTTGTATAACTGCACGACATACTCTTCGTACTCGCCAAATTGTCTTGGACCACCCGCACCCTGCTCGCACACAGCTTCCTCCGGAGACAGAGGCGGAGCGTCGATCATTGCTGTCTCGCTAGTCGTTCTGTCAGGCGCAGAGGCGACTTCATCTGCTGTGCCGCTGCAGTCGTTGAAGTGGAGCGACGATGTGCAAGGGTGCAGGCCATCATCTGCTGTAGACCGACGCGGAGGCGGTGCAAAGCTATCGGGCATCATGTATTCGCTAGCAGGTGATCTGAGCCTTTCTTTCATCGCCATGTTTGCCTTGACTAGTGCAGGCATAACGTTCTCAAGGTATGCGACACCCCGATTGGTGAGGTCCATGGCGGTGTCGAATTTGGTCCGGGTCTGTTCGGTCCTCCGCGAACTCAACGGGAGCTCAAACTCAGTCGGCGTGTTCAGCAGAGTCACCCATTCTGCCAGGGAACCGATGTCGATAGGTACTTCGGTTGGCTTCAGAGTTGCCGGGGCTCGTGCAGTGAAGCTAGTGTATGCAGTCTGAAGCCTTGTCTCCAACGCCGCTGCAGACGGTTTTGGTTTCTTCTGTTGTACCTTCTGTTGCGGGGTATTGATGAGAGATAAGAGAGGAAGAATGAGAATGAGGAATGAGATCAGAGATGAGATGAGGATGAGTGATGGTGGATGAGTGATGAGGGATGGTGGATGAGCAGAACGTCGATATTGGCCTCGCAAACCTTGGAAGTTTTACCCAGTCGCGATGTTGATGACTGTCGTGCTTTCCCTCCATGGCAGCCGCGTCATAGAGACGCGTGCTTTCCGTGAACGCCCATGAAGCTCCAGTCTGCGGGGCGTTCCTTCCATGAAGCTCTCACTAACTTACCGAGACTCGACACGCGGCGAAGACGAGCAACATAAACACTTGCATCATGATCGTATCATCAACTCACAAATGTATATCCCAGTGTATACAACAAGATCCCAGGTCGATGTCTTTCTCGGTTGATCGAAGCCAGCGACGCGGGGATTGCCGGACGGCACGTGTTTCGTTACTCAGCACCCGCCGGTGTTTCAGCTACCTTGCCTGCTCTCCAGACACCACCCTTCACTGAGCATGTATCCACTGCGACCCACCGGAGAGCGTCCGCGATGGCCAGACCGCCAGCAAGACGAGCATGCGACAGGTGCCATGCCGTGAAAGAGAGATGCAGGCGCGTCCCCGGCCAGGATGCCTGCGAGCGATGCCAACGCCTCCGCAACTCATGCCAGACCCTACGACCAGTTGGCACTGCTGGCCGCAAACCTCGGTATCAGCGCACCGAGGGTACGACACGCAGCCCGCTACAGACGGCTCGGAGCGACAGCCTTTCTGTTGCTTCTTCGTCACCCAGATGCCCAGCCTCGGCCGCGAGCCCAGCGATGCCGGATTGGGACATAGTCGCGCTGCCCAGGGCTCCATCCCCGTTCGCGGATCTGAGTGAGCGGGAGATGCACCTCGTCAAGGGCGTATCCCAAGGCCAAACGCGCATCGACCAGTTCCTCATCGCGCCAAGCTTCCGCATCTGCCACCACAAAGCCTTCGCGCGTCAGCTCCACAACGCAACGTCGTGGGTACAAGATTCGTTGATAGCCACCGCGGCCCTCCTAGCTTGCGAGTACGAGCCTGGCCCAAACCATGAGGACCGAGTCATTGGCCACAGGCGGGCTGCCTCTGCCGTTTCCACTTTACGGTCTGTTAAAGCCGTCGACCCTGGAGACGTTCAGACCGTGTTGATGCTTGCAGTGAGCGCCATCACGTTTGCCCTGCACATATCCGGGAGCTCATTAGAGATCTGTCGACACACTCTCGACATCATCAAGCCCATATACGAATCGACAGTGGAGCTCAGTCCGGACTGTCAGGCCTTCGTCATCTGCCTCATTCAGGCGGAGACCGAAGAGTGCATCATACGGGGCGAGGCTCCAACCCTGCGGCTCGAAGTCCAAGAGACCGATGACATGGTTGATCGATATATGGGAATTGCCTGGCCTATGCTACCGTATCTTTACGATGTTTGCAAGATCACCGACTCGCTACGCCAGAATCCGAACCTTGATCTATCTGAGATTACGCAAGCTCTGAACGACATCGAAGTCGCCGTCGAGGCCTGGACGCCAATCCTGCCCGTTGAGCAAATCAGCCGTTTTTTGCAGGAAGAGGTGGCTAGCATCATGTCTCAAGCCAAACTATATCGCTGGTCGGTGCTGCTTATCGTACATCGACTGCGACATCCATATGGCACGTCGTCAGCGAGAGGCACTGTCATTTCAAATGCTATCTTCGAAGAGCTGCGGATGATACTCCAAATCACCAAGCGCTCGGTGCCAGGCGCCATTATCCCATATGTATTTGCTTGCTTCGAGCTGGTCGATTCTGCTCAGCGCGAAATGGCGCTCGACAAGATCGACGTCGTCATCGAGTTTTCGAAAGAATTGCGAACAAAGGTCAAGAAGCAACTCATGGCATTTTGGGTCATCAAAGATAGCACGGCTCAAATACATTGGAGCGAGATCGTTTCGTGGCTTCCACAATGAAGCTCTCGACTATGGAGAGCACACAGCCCAAAAGACAATGCCTTGGTGGAAAGCATCTGGGTGGGATGAAGATACCATAAGAAGTTGTTTGTGCAGGGACACTCCAACCGCTCTGCTTTTCCCAGGAACAGCGTAGCGATGCGATACCCATCATGAACACTACTCAAGTGTTCTATGGGCTGGCTGTCGCATTGCCATGCGCTTGTATTTCGTCGCCGTCGCAACCCTGATCTTCTTGCCCCACAATAGCAAGGGGATGGGGATTAGCAAGATCGCAAAGCATACAGCCGCCGTGATGATGGAGACGTTCTGTATACCCATATTGTTCGTCCACGGCGTGAGTGCGAAGAGGATGACCACGGCGAATAGGTTCCGGACAAAGACGATGCCTATCATAGCATCTCCGAGGATCTGAAGGTTGTCATGTCAGTGGGAACTCCGCTTCGAATAGACTGGGAGCTGTCGACTCACCTCTTGATAGCAATCTGTCACGTATGATAGCGCGACACCACTAGCTAGGACAAATGTGAAACCGAACAGCCCGAATCCTACGGCCAATATCATCCAGTGCAGACCCTGAAGAAGCTATTAGTGAACCATCATTACAGCCAGGTGTTACCAACATACCCTGGCTAAGGCTAGCCCAAACATCAGGATACCGCCCGGGAGCAGGATTGCTGAGATAAGAGTGATCCACAGGCGCATCTCTGGTTCGTAAATGCCTCCATTCCGCCTGGCGAAGTACATGATCGATCTGTCGTTCAGGAAACCACCCGCGAAGAATCCAAAGAACGTGCCAACGAACGGAGCAATGTTCATGAGTCCAACGCCAGAAGCTCCAAAGTTGTATGGTGGTTGCAACAGGTAGACGGCCTGTAATGAGCTCATCAATGCCATGCACGCCAGCAGGGTACCATAAGTGAGTGCAGCAAAGGCCACGGCAGGGAAAGTGAACAAGACAACGATTGGCTGGTAGAAGTGGTGGCCGATGCGTTGATTGGAAGGGGTGACGATGGCCATGCGCTGACGATAAGTCTTTCGTGGTAAGGAGGTGTCAATTCGGGATTGTATGCGCTCCATGGCGGTGTGCTTTGCGTCGCCTTTGCCGTCTGTGGCCTTTTGCAGCCCTGAGTCGGGACGGCCGTCCTCGAGTCCATCCGAGCCAGAAGTGCCAGCCGTATGTGGCACACTCTGACCATTGAGGAAAGGGACGTACTTGGACTCTTCGAAAAAGAACATGACGAGGACGAAGTTTAGACCGAGGAAGATTGTGCACCACCACCAGATCCATCTCCAGCCCTGCGACTCCACAACGAAGCCGGCGGCTACCGGGCCGAGGGAGGCACCCACGGACGTGAAGACGAGGTACCATGCGTTCATCGTTCCATGTTGATGGACGAAGAACAAATCGGCAATGGTGATCTGGATGACGGCCTCGCTGATAGCACCGCCCAGTCCAGCAAGGAAGTTGCTGCCCAAATAGTCACCATAGTTCGCCATCTGGGTCTGCCACAACACTCCACTCAACTGGAGCGCAGAGCTGAGCAGGTACAGAGGTCGTCGTCCGTACTTGTGTACGAACGGCATGAAGAGCATGCAGCCGACTGCAAGCCCAGCACAGCTCATAGCGCCTCCATTGTTCAGCTGATCGTTGCTGAAGCCCAGTTCAGGCGCAATTTGACCCCATGATGTCGTGCCGCTCTGGAGCTGTACAAATGTCCAAAGGACGAAGAAGCCGGTCAAGCCGAAGTTGATGGTCTTGCGCAATTTGCTCCAGTTCAAGGGGTCATCTGGTTCGGTGCTAGGCACTGGGTGGAGGATGACGTCCGTTGCGGGCCCGGTCACTACAGCGGGACAGTCAGTGTGCGGTCTTTACAGCGGCAAATGCGAGTCTTACAATCCTCTAGTCGTAGCGTTCCCGGAGCCCAAAAGGTGCCATCATCCGGTCTGGAGCCATTGCTGTCGGCCATCGCTCTCAGGAGGGTACGAAACAAAAATAATCGCGTTGAAGAGGTTGTCTATCACAGGCATGGAGCTTGTCGCGTGGATATCTTCCCCACTGTTATCCAGAGCTTTCGTGCGTATATATACCACAGCAACCGCTGAGGCAGTGTCAGCTGTGTTCTGTACGTTATCTGCGCATCCCTATCTCGAACCCCGGATTGCGTGTTTCCGCAGGCGAACGGGGCGAATTGGGCGAATTGCGAATTAAATAACCCACCGGCTTGGCGCTGGCGGCTGTGGGGTAGTGTCGCGCTAACGTCTGCCGCTCAGACACGAAACGAAATGTTGCTCCGACACGGCCAGATATCAACACTTTGCCTCGCGATCATGCGGACGAGATCTGGACCCCGCATTATTCAGCCACGGATAGATACTACGGCATCTGAGTATTCCAATGATATACATATCTTAGCATCTCCGGATGCTGGCCATTACCAATATAACGCGTCCGACCCGTATCTCTCCAACTCGAATCTTTCCGAGACTTAGCAATTCCCTTCGTTCATCGAATATGGCTTCCACTTCATGGGAGAGTAAGGTTGCTGCAAAGCAGCAGTCCAGTCGCGAGAAGATACCAAAAGAATGGCTTCTTCCAGCATCAGTCACGGACTTGCTCCAGATGCCGCTTTCAGAACATCCAAATCGCTTGATGAAGATGGGCATTGCACGAAAGTCGGGACTGTTGAGCGAGAGGGAACTGGAGATTACCGAGAAGTATACCGTTGAAGCGCTGTTGAGGCAGCTGAAGGATGGTACTCTATCGTCACTGGAGGTTACCATAGCGTTCTCGAAGAGAGCAGCCATGGCACAGCAGTTGGTACGTCAATTCTTCCTTCAGAATAGAGTACAAGCCACTAACGTAGTGTTATAGCTGTCTTGTCTCACAGAGACATACTTTGCTGAAGCACAAGAGCGAGCACGCTTCCTCGACAGCGAAAGAGCTAGCGGTCGTATCGTAGGCCCTCTGCACGGTCTACCCATCAGTCTCAAAGATGCTTTTCAAGTCGCTGGATCAGCGGCCACGATTGGATTCGTTTCGTTTCTGGACCATGCGGCGTCGAAGGAAAACTCACCGCTCGTGGATATCCTGCTCGAGCTAGGCGCAGTCGTATATGTCAAGACCAATATCCCTCAGACCATGATGGTAAGTTAATCATCCCGTCTTAACATCAAGAAGGCTCATGGACTAATGTAACGTAGACGGCCGACTCACAGAACAACATCTTCGGGCGTACTTTGAACCCTCACAACACTGCCCTCACTGCGGGAGGGTCGAGCGGAGGCGAAGGTGCCCTTGTTGGATTTCGAGGATCTCCACTCGGTGTTGGAACAGACATTGCAGGTCAGTACATGTCGTCGAAGTTGTAGTGATCAGACTTGCTGATCTACACTAGGATCAATCCGCATACCCGCCCTCTGCTGTGGCACCTACGGCTTCAAGCCCTCTACAGCGCGCATTCCAGATGGCGGACAAATATCGCCCGTATCCGCTGGCAACAACTTCTTCAACCCGTCCGCTGGTCCCCTCGCAAACGACATACAAGCTCTAGGCATTCTGTGTCGGTCACTCCTATCAGTGAGACCGGCCTTGTACGACGCCTCTGCTCTCGACGTTCCTTGGAGAGACCTAGAAGCACCGCCGAGCGCGCCGAAGCTAAGACTGGGTCTTTTGGCCGAGGACTCCGCCTTCCCCTTGCATCCGCCGGTTAAAAGAGCGCTAGCACAAGCTGTCAGCGCGCTCGAAGCAAAGGGCCACGAGGTGGTTCCCATCGCGCCGGCGCGCGCTCAGGTCGCCAATGCGCTAGCCCTCGCGTTTGCCTTCTTTATGCTCGACGACACTCCCCCGACGCATGTAGCCGCTAGTGGTGAGCCTGTTGTTCCTTCGGTTATTCAGTCCATGGAGGTTTTCCATTCTTTCAAGTCTGACTTCTTGGACGACTGCAAGGGCTTGGAGGGCATCAAGAAATTAGCTGCGCTCAATGTCAAGCGGGATGTTATCCAAGACGAGTGGAGGAAGATTTGGAGAGAGCAGAAATTGGACGGAGTAATCGGTCCGGCTGCACAGCACACTGCGGTCGCGCACGATACATACGGGTTACCGCCGTATACGCTACTGTTGAACGTATTGGATGTAAGTCATGCTTACCCATCTCGAAGTGGCTGTAGAGAGCATTGCTAACGTCAAGCCAGTATCCCGCATGCGTACTTCCCTTTGGTAAAGCCTCGAGCGCTCTGGATGCTGAGCCCTTTGTCATGGGCCCTGGCCAAGTAGGCCCGAGTTGTAAGTCGCCGTCTTGACTCTTTGTACGGGTTTGAGACGCAAGCTAATGTATTCAATGCAGATAATCCCAAGCTCGTGGATGGTGCACCGACTGCCATCCAGGTCTTCACGAACAAGATGCGCGATGAAGAATGCCTGCAGGTGTCTGCTATCATCGATGAGTGCTTGAAAGCTGTGTAAATGTCCTTTTTTTTGTACTTATATGAGCATACTTCGATATCGCACATTCTACCACTTGCAACTTCGGCGTCGCACTGCAGCGTCTTGTATTCTGCGAGATGTCTTCAACACTGCTGTATTTGACTGTCTGCAATGTCAACCGCTCGCTCCTGAAACATGATCAATGCGGTGGTAATCACCATGTCAACCAAGAAAAAAACTGAACAGGCCTACAGCCTACATCAAAATGGAAGCACACAAGATAGGTGACCTGGCGGCGATGTAGGCTCTAGACCTGTTCAGTTTTATTTTTGTATGAGCTTTCACTGTCTAACCGATTTATCTCGTACTCATCATCTCATCATCTCGTCTCGTCGTCCACTCTTCATAGTCTACATCCTTCCACTATACAAGTCCATCCAAATCGTCTACCATTTCCCTCTAGTGTGCATGATCCTCGCCGCAACCGCAGTCAGGCCCAAATTCGCGTCGGGCCTGTCTCGCTTCCTCCTGCCATGGCTGTAGGGTGACCGCCCGCTTCGTCTCCCGTTCCCACTTTCCATGACCCTTCTTCTCGTTGAGTTCGACGAGAGCATCCAGCCACGCGGCAAGTCTGTACCCCGCCTTTGCGAGTTGCTTCGTAACGACAGGAATAGCAGTGTCCCAGTAGGCTCCTGACAGCTCTTGCGCGAACACTGCATCAGGGCCGTTGGGAATGACAGTGGAGCACACGAACTTGTTGGCGTCACGCGCCCAAGTCATGGAGCTGCTGACGGCATCCTTCGCCTTCAGTCCCTTGAGCCACGTCTTGCTCTCCTTCTTGAACTTGCCATGCTTCACTTCCGCGGTGAGGTTGTTGGCTAGGGCCAATGCATTGGCTTGTGAGAAGTTGCCGTAGGCCTTTTGCGGGATTGCTGTATCCCAGATGGAATGCAGGTTCGTCCGCGCGCCATTGAAGGTGACGTTGATGAGGTTACCACCTACGGCGATATTCTCCACGTGGAGTGGCTGGTGAACATCGCCGACGAAGTGGATGACCCATTTCAGGGCTCTTTGCTGTTCGACGATGCCAACCGACTTCTGGAAGGCGCGGCTGGAGTAGTTGGCGATGGCGGAAACGATGCAACCCTCCTCAGGACAGTCACGCTCGTAGTCGATGTTGCAGCTCTCAGGCGGGTTGTCGAGCGCATCGATGTAGTGGAGAACAGAACTGAACTTCCCTTCCGGTTCAGAGCGGAAGCTATCAGCCCAGGTAGCCACATTGGCGAGATATGCGGATGAGGTGTCGTTCAGGAGGGTCTGCGCAAACTTGGCCGTCTTGTGGGAGACGAGGTTCTGTGCCATGTATGCCACTGCGGTGTGACCGAGGGAGCCCCAAGCGGAAGCATAGGGTACTGCCGCAAGGAGAGGTAGAAGCGACTTCGGTGGTGCCATCTTAGACGTTGAGGTTATCGGGATGGTCGAAGTGAAGCAGGAAAGAGGCTTGCTGTCATGCTCACGCAGAGGACATGCGATGTTATAAGCAGCTGGGAACGGCAACGACGTCGACCAATAGTTCTGACGGTATCGGCCATGGCCGTTTCGTCGCCACGATGCTTGATCGAGACCCTGTAGAGCGTGAGCGATGAGATGCAGGTCCATGGGGATGCTAGCCCAGAAAGGAAGGTGCTACGCCACGATAGGCAGGAGCTGGGTAGCCGACCTCAACTTAAGCCTCTGTCAGAGAGCACGTTGTCCGTCTTGATTGGACAACCACGAAAACACAGCCGGAGATGAACATCTGAAGATCCCGTGGGCAGGGTAGCACGTTGTACGGGTGGGTGTCTAATGTATGTACCTACAAAACCAATGCAGCTAACAATGCTCCGAAGACAGCTAGGGTATCTCAAATCCGTGAGTCTTCGCCAAACGCCAGATGTAAATGCACGTTGTCACGATTGCGTCTATCGCTCCGCCTCTGCGGCACCGTCCTCGCCGCCTGCGTCCATATTGGTTGGCGCCTCGTCTTCGGCAGTCTCTTCTGTGGGAGCAGGCGGCCCTTCGATCAGGCGGAGCCACCACGCGGGAGGATCGAGAGGGCTGTGGTTGTTGTGCAGCGGCGGGTAGATGTCGTTGAAATAGTACCAGACTGGAGTGTGTTAGTAGTTGTCAACAAGAGCTGGGAGCGCAGACGTACTATGGCCGACAACGATGCCGCACATCTCATCCTTGGGCACCGTCCCATGCATGATGAGCGAAAAGGCCAAGAGCACCCAGGGCAGGTAGGGCGCCTTGAAGACCAGCAGGCCAAGGAAACTGAGCATGGTGTCCGGGTTCTTCCTGCTCCAGATGTAGATGAGGGTGCTGGACAGAGCCGAGCCGAGAAAGGCCATGGAGAACATGGGCGCGATGCAGAGGAGCAGCGTCGAAGCGAATGTGAGGAGCCATGCGAAGTGTGCCGTAGAGCGGCCGGACGATTCCTCGAGCAGGCGCGCGTATCGCTGGAGGAAGAAGATGTGGTAGAGGAGGTCGAGGCTGAGTGGGCCGAAGTAGAAGAAGGTGGTGAGCAGTCGCCAGTACTATGCAGGTCAGTAAGGGCTGGAATAGACACATTGGTAGTAGTGGTAGTACCTGGCTCTTGAAGAAGACGGTGCGCACGCTGTAGAAGAGCTGGAAGGGCGAGATGATATGGCACTGCACCAGCACACTGGCACTCAGCGCCGCCGTCATCCACCAGCGCGTGCACACGGGCATTTCGTAGAACCACTGCTCGAGCGGAAAGCCTCCGGCCCCTCCCATCATGCCGTCCCCGCCTTGCAGAACATTCGCCATGGTGGGTTGAGCGCTCTAGGGATAACACAGGATGAAGAATGAGGGAAAGAGGCAAGTTGCAGCGCCTGCACTCAGATACCTAAGTAAGCAGCGAAAGGCCAAGTGTCGCTCAGCAAACGCAGCCGCTTTCCGAGCGTGTGAACGATGGGGCCCATGTGGCTACGTAACTTGTCCGATGGCCCGCCAAGGCGCTAGGACTAACAGCACGCGATCGCACCTTCCGCACGCCGGGAGTCGGGGTCCAAGCTCCTGCCCTGGGTGAATGCGAGCCAGCCACAGCACCAGCCCCTCGTCTCAGTCGCGTCGGCAGACGGTCAAGATCGCGAAGGACGATGCGCCCGTGCTCCATTCACTACTGCGACCCTCGTACGCCATTTCATCGATATTCCCAACGACGACGTGCCGACCGTTCGTCTTGTTGATCTTGACGCGCTTGAGTTTCGCGACTTTTCGCGCTGTGCACGCGCCGTGATCCCTCCCCGTCGCCAATCCCACGCTCCAATTGATCCACCTGGACCCCGAAACATCGCGCGATATCCTTACACACCAAAACCAACATGTCTCCCAAATCTCCCACTAGAAAGAACAAGGCGCGACCGTCGCGAGGTGGACGGGCGAGTGTCGGAGGCAGGAAGGAGTCGGGCAAGAGACGTACGTCGTGCGCCAAATAGTCAAGTCCGCGCATCCCAGCTGACCATCGCGCAGTTGGACAGGCAGGACCCGCCCCCGATCGCGCAAAGAAGCGCTACAAGCCCGGCACCGTCGCTCTCCGTGAGATCAAGCGCTACCAGAAGTCAACCGACCTGCTCCTCCTGAAGCTCCCATTCCAGCGCCTCGTAAGGAATCTTCACCAAGACACTCTTGCGACAGCCAGCTAACTTGCCTCCAGGTCCGCGAGATCGCGCAAACAGTCACAACCGAAGACGGTCCCAACAGATGGCAGAGTCAAGCCATCGTGGCCCTCCAAGAAGCCACCGAAGCCTTCCTCGTCAACCTCTTCCACGACGCCAACCTCTGCGCCATCCACGCCAAGCGCGTTACCATACAGCAAAAGGACATCCAACTCGCGCGTCGTCTGCGAGCAGCTTGGGGTGCGCCGGTTTAAGTTGACATGGTTGTTTTGGCAGATACCCAATCTTCACTTCTGTTAGTACCGAGTTTGGAGGAAATAGGGCGTATCGTTGCGATCTGGAATTTGTGCGCATACCAGAGAGACTGCTTTTGGGAAACAATTGCGATTGGCGTTGCGTGGCGCGGAGGTTACTCGCATGAGGCCCGTCTTCAGGATTGTTATTGATTATTGTTCGTATATTTGCAGCATACCGACTACCGAGCTACAACCGTATCCCCTGTATATCAGTATTTTGGATGATCAAATGGAACAGAAATTCCACGTCTCCCGTTTCTTGACTTCGACCTGAATGGCGTGAATCATCTGGGCAACGACTCCAATCAGACGCTGACTACCGGTATAGTTAGTGGCATTGGTAGTCGTCCGCCGTTTCTTGCTTGAGTTGCTTGTACGTCGACGAGGGCTTGGCTATCATCGTCTTCGCCGCGTGCGAAAGGCTCGACAAGCTGGGGGAGCGCGGAACGCCGCCGAGGAAAGCTCCCCCGCCATTTCCGGAACGTTGGCTTCTTATCGCCGGCAACCCTCATCACCTTCCACATACGCATCGCAGCAAAGATCCAACTCTCCTCCGCAACCGGTAGCCGATCAACTAAGACATTACCGAACAAACAAGTGACGCAAAGCCTCCTTGGCAGCCTTGGCCATGCATTGTCCCCGCCCGTATCACGTCGCTAGAATGCCATTCGACGTCATGAACTGGGTGCCTCAGGTCGGTGCCGCTGCGGCGATACATGCGCTATAGCTCAACCAGGAAGCTCAATGTCTGACATGCAGGCACTTGCAGGCTTGTACATGGTTGCCAGGCAGACGAGTCAAGGTACCCCAATGTCAAGAACTACGTATAAAGTTGGCACTTGTGGTACTTCCATAGCCTCTGCCCGCAGCAGATTGAAGAGCTCGATCTCCTCCTACCGCAGCGATCATGGTTGCATTCAGGCTGTCGCTTCTTGGAGCAGCTGGGCTTCTGAGTGGGGTTATCAATGCCCAGTTTCCTCCGACACCAGAGGGCGTGACCGTTCTTGAATCGCAACTTGATGAGGGAGTCACGATCTCATACAAGGAGGTAGGCCATCCTCCTCACAGTGCTTGATCCATATACTAATGACCCCAGACCGACCTCTGTGAAACCACAGAAGGAGTCCGAAGCTTCTCCGGCTATGTTCACCTCCCAGCTGGAGCACTTGCCGATCTCGGTGTCGAGAACCAAACCTACGAGATCAACACCTACTTTTGGTTCTTTGAATCGAGGAAAGATCCTGCCAATGCCCCTCTCTCCATCTGGATGAACGGTAAACAGCTTGGAAAGAACGCATTGCGACGTTGACTGACACTATCAGGTGGACCCGGCTCCAGTTCCTTTGTCGGACTTTTGCGTGAGAACGGACCATGCTTCATTGGTGCCGATTCCAATAGTACCTACCTGAACGAATGGTCGTGGAACAACGAGGGTGAGCAAGTCTATAGTGCAGCATTTGGTCTTCTGAGTATCACGGCTAATGGAATCAGTCAACATGCTTTATCTCGACCAGCCCGTTCAGGTTGGCATGAGCTATGACAGCCTGGTCAACATCACCACTAATCTAGACACCGGCGATCTTGAGGTTGTAGACTTCGGCAACGGCCCTGTTCCTCCCCAAAACAACAGCTTCTATGTCGGCACCTACCCTAGCGAAAACTCCAACCTCACCACACGTGGTACTGAGAACTCTGCACGAGCGCTCTGGAACTTCGCCCAAGTCTGGTTCCAAGAATTTCCTGAGCACAAGCCAAATGATGACAGAATCTCTATTGCGACAGAATCTTACGGAGGTCGTTATGGACCAGCGTTTGCAGCTTACTTCCAGGAGCAGAACGAGAAGATCGAGAACGGGACGTGGAGCGAGGCCGGACAGACACATCTCTTACACCTCGACACTCTACTTATCATTAATGGCTGCATTGATCGTTACGTCCAATGGCCGGCTTACCCAAGGATGCAGTACAACAACACGTACGGTATCAAGGCTGTGAACGAGTCGCGCTATGAGGAAGTGCTCGACAACCTATACAAGGAGGGAGGCTGTCTTGATCAAATTGAAGAATGTCGCAACATCAGCCTTATATACGATCCTACTAACCAAGGCTACAACGAGACCGTCAACGAAGTATGTGAGGCGGCAGAGACATTCTGTTCCGAAACGATCCGTGATCCTTACTTCGACACCGACCTCAACTACTACGACATCTCCGCCCCCGGTGCAGCTGCTTTCCCACCACCATGGTATCAAGGCTGGCTGAATCAGCCACATGTACAGCAGGGACTTGGTGTACCTCTCAACTGGACTCAGTCGAACTCGGCCGTGTCGCGGGCATTCCGAGGTATTGGCGACTATCCACGTCCAGGTTGGAAGGAGGATCTAGCGTATCTTCTCGAAGAGGGTATCAAGGTCACACTGGTGTATGGTGACCGAGACTATGCCTGCAATTGTCAGTATTGCCCCAAGAAGGCTGC